TAAATAAATTCTTTTAATTTAAATTCTAAAATCGTAAAAGTACAATTTGGCTTTTTATTATTTTTATAAATTTTTCTTGTTTTAACAAATTGTCAATAAGATTAAAAATTTAAATATTAAAAAGGCAGAACAGGTGCGGAGAGAAATCGACAAAATGCGTAATTTCATAAGTCTAATTTAGCAATTTCTATGCAATGCAATAAAATAATATCTCCATCTTTCAGAGAAATAAAATTATATTTTCATCTCATTTTGTATGCGTGATATATGTTCATCTCTCGTAGAGAGTTGTACCGTTGAAAAATGTTTCCATCAAAAGAAAATGTCACACCAGAGAGGTGGCAAAAAAAAAAAAAATGATGTAATATGTTAAAATAATAAATTGTCTCTAAAAAAAAAAATGTAAATCAAACGGACTTTATTCACTTTGTGAGGAAAAAAAAAATCTTTTCCGATTCCGATAAAAAATTTCCCTTATCCTGCGGGGGAAATTTCATTTCAATCGAGCAACATTTACTAAATTCTTCTCTCCAACTGTTCTTAATCGTTAATATTGAAAAATTCTTTTGCAATGAATTTATTTAGAAAAATAGTTTTTTAGTTTTCTTTTTACTCTTTGTTCATTTATTTTATTTTTTACATTCTATAATTATACGTGTTTATAAATAAATAAAATAATTATAAAAAATTAAATATATTTAATTCAAATAAAACTTATTTAATACAAGTAAATATTTATTTGATAATTAAGTAAGCGATTATTTTAATCAAATTTTTTTTCAACGTAAAAGGGTTTCAATTGTTTCTAATGTGATTCAAGAGAGGCTTCAAAATTAGTTCACCATTAAAATTTTATGTTCAGTGACCGAAATACAATTTCTTTTATAAATAGACTAAAACATCTCCTTTACGATATTTATTTAATTTTAATAATAAATATTCCAAATCAGTAAAAATATAAGTAACTTAATTTTTTTTTGCAAATATTCACGTAAACACTATTTTTTTCTACAATTGTTAAAAAAGGGGACAATTTAAAATTTCAAACCCACTTTTATCCAAAAAAAAATTCGACACTTTTTTGTTAATAAATGATTTCTGTTTACATATGAATAACATATTTCCTGACAAAAACAAAAGAGCAATCAATGAATTGTCAGATTTATTATATCATTATATACCTCTTGAAAGAAAAATGATAAAACTCGCGGAAGTTATAAATAACGGTAAACTGAATTTTATTTATAAAGGTCGTCGATATAATGCCGACAAGTAAACGTTTTTTTCTTTCTTTTTTTTCTTAATGCACTTAATTTTTTTTTTTTTGCTCCTTATGAATGACTCACTCGCGAGGACATAATCACGTAATTTAATGCTGTAACTTTTGTCACGCGCGACTTCCGATTTGTGAGTATATTTCAGCGCATTCACCCTGAAAATATACACCTTTGAATGACAGGGATTTGTATGACATCAACACGTCGATGTTTGCCGCGATGTTGAACTGGCCGGGGTGTTCTGGTTTCGCGGGGATTCGAAAGGGTGGGAGATACTTACGATTTGCGCGGGAAACCTGCGCGTCTCTTTTGCGCAAATACCCGTCATTAAAAAAATTCAACTAAAATAAAAAAAAAAAAAAAAAGAAAAAATAAATACAACTTTTACGCATATATCGTGTGTAGAATTTTGTGATAAAATCTTTCGATAATCACTTATCTTACTCGCGGATCCATCAAAGTGCCAAGTGCTTTTTTATAAATAGAAAAATTTAGTTTAAAAAAATTAATGACCTAATTGAAATAAAAATTAACTAATTGACTCAAATAATTGTTTGGTTCAAGAAAATAAATTTTTTTTTTAAATTTTGTTTGGTGACAAAAATTTTATTCGTGTCATAAAAATTTTTTTGCACAAAAATTAACACGGTTAAAGCTAAATATTTTTCTCGATGTTTATATTTCAGAAAAGTAATTAATACAAGGAAAGTATTTATTTTTTCTCTTCCCTTTTGTTTTTGATATTTTTTTTTTTAATGTTTTTTATTCCAGACTTTTAATTAATGTTAATTAAAAGCTTCTTTAAGGAGAAAATATATTTCCTTGATAAGTAAATTATCTGTCAAGGATTAAAGTGTTTAATAATTAATTTTAATAAATATATGTTCATTCAAGGAAACTTCTTTGATTAAAATAATATATTGTTAAATTGTATGAAATAGAAAAAAAAAATTTAAATAAAATAATTAAGGAAATTAGAAGCTTATTAGGAAATTTTGATTAAATAGTCAAAATACTATTATTATATTATCAATTCATTGTTGTAATATCAAATTATTGTTATCGCGCCATTATGAACAAATGATTATTCGCGGAAATTCCAATACCGGGAATCAGATAATGACCGATAGCATTTTGAAGGATCGTTACATATGAGTAAATTCGAAATTTCGTTTATTAGGTAACGGATGTTGGCTTCGAATTAATTTACGATAGTAGCAAATATTTACACGCATTTCATAATACTAATAATCAAAACAGTTATACAATTTTTTTTTTATTTCGAAAAATCAAAAATTTTAATTAAAAATTATTATATTTTCAATGATTTAATTTTATGAAAATTTACAAATTTTTTTGAGTTTATACTTTTAAGTGTGTTACGCAATAAATCATATAGAACAGAAAATTTGGAATCATTTTTTTTTTTGAAATGATTCCAAACCTGTATGAAAAGGAGAATCATTTCATTATATTATTGCTGTAGGCGCGTAGATGTTGTTCTTTAGAGAAAGATAAAATTTGGTCTTCATTAGTTCTAATTAACAAATTAAAAACCCTTTGCCAAGATTTACTTCAAAATAGGCTCAAATCTCAGATTGAAAATTGGGCCAAGGACTTCTTTATAAATAAATGTAACTCTTAAAAAAAAACAACATATTTCTTTGTAAAAATAAATTCAATTTTTTAAAAATATCAATCCAAAGTTAATTTTTTTTTTAACTTTCTTAATTTTAAAATTTGCAATTTATGACTAGATATAAAAAAAGGGAAAAAAGTCAGAAAATGAAATGCAAACATAGGAAATCTTAGTTTCTCAGCTCTGTTTAGCTCATTAAAAATTATGAGTAATTAACGGGACGATGAAATATGAGGCTATCAATTTCAAGGACTGGCAGAAGGCGACAGAAATTTAAAAGTCCAGGAAACGAAAAATAGCATATGCATAACAAACAGAACCATGAGGTTTTTTAAAAAAAAATGCGTTAAAAATTCATATTAACTTTTGCAAAATGCAAAATTATGCAAAATAAGTAGATTATATAATATCTCCTCGAGTAAAGTCAATGATCTCAGGAAGTGAGAACTGACACATAATGTTAAGAACTTTTTATAAATTTTCGAAATATAATTATTAATTTCGATTTTAGTTTGAATTTTTTTTTAAGTGAAGATAAATTGGATCAGAAAAATTGTTTTGGATGTAAAGGATTGCCACTTGATATTACTAATGTTTGAGACACGTTTCAATAATATCTAATATTGGATCGACGCCAATTTCACCGGGAAAAATCAATATTGATTCATTCGATTCTCGAGATACGTGAGAAAGCATTACCAGTAAATATATCTGCCTTTAAAAAAAAAATCGAATCTCAGGTAAATTTTAAGAAACTTATCACTATAAATATATATACTGATAACTCATTCATGTGAATTTTATATAAAAATAGAATAAAATTGGAAAAATATGCTTTTTGCTTAATGTTGTCTAAAAATTATTAATCAAAAATTTCAATAATTCATTAATTTATATTTTATTATAAAATTAGGTTAAGATCAATTAATTAATGAATTAAAATAAATTCTGAGTATAATTTTTTTCTTTTTATAACGTATGTTTTTTTATACGTACAAAATGTTAAAAAAAAAATGTTCCAAAATTACGACTTTGACATAAAAAAAATTTTATGCTTCGCTGCTGGAAAAAAAGCGCGAATTATGTGTTTTATCGTTTGCAATTTGTTTACTGTAGAAAAATGTTTGTACACGATTTTCGTAGGGAATACAAGTGAAAATTTATATACATTTTCAGGACATAACTTTTCGGCGCTATATAAACTTTTGATGTAATGTCTCGTCAACCGAAAAGATTAACTCGATTAATGGATCTAATTGAATTCCACTTTGAAATTTGATTTGGAAATTCATTCAAATAGAGCATGTGAACTTTCTCTAATCCCTAAAAGGACAGTGGTCCAGAATGTTCAAAGTGAAATTCCGTTAACGAACTTGAGCCAACTGTATAATATTTAATTTGTTTGTTTCAACTACAATTTTATTATTTGCTACCCCCCACTTTTCTCTCTTTCTCTCTCTTTTCCTCTCTTTGAGGAATATCAGCAGGATAAAATGATTAAAAATATTTAAATAATTTTAATTCAAACATAAAAAAATATAGAAAATATTGAATTCACATTTTAGAAAGATTAGTAGACAATAGAATTTTTGGAAAATGTGCAAGAAATTCATTTTTAGTGAGGGAAAATATCCAAGCAAAAGGTAACATTGTAAGCAGTTTTTGAAATCCAACTGTGATTAATTTTTAATTATTTAACTTTTAAATAAAGCTTTCGTAAATTATAATTTTTAATTTTTTTTTTTTTTTTAATTTCACTATTTCATTTACTTTTACTATTACATTTTTACATTTTACTTTACTAATTTTCTACACATTCTTTTAGATCAAATTAATGAAAATAAAATTTATCTAATTCAATTATTAAAATTAAATTTAAATCAAAGGAAACTTATTTTTTCATTTCATAGTTAAATTAATTAATTAAATTTAATAACAAAAAAATTAAGTAAAATTTCCTCTCGTTTTGTTATATATTGTGCAAAAAGAAATCAATCACTGATGAATTTTTTATGACGATACAATCACACAAATTAGTAACGATGTAACGCATAAAACACGGATTACGTAATTAGACGACTTACCTGTATTGATCGGTAAATATCCTGAAAACAAGAATTCATTTTTATTCTAAAGACTTTCGTATAATATTTTGCATGCATTTTAAAAATTATTCGCGTCTCTCATTTTTTAATATTATTTTCTAAAGCTATTATCAATCTCTAGATTAGCAAATTATTTAAGCGTATACTTGTCAAGCAAATTTTCGTGTCATTGAAAAAATTATTTATTAATAAGTTTTTTTTTTGTAACAAATGAAAAAAAAACTATATGTAAGCAAAATTTCTCAATTTTTTATTATTTTTTGATTTTAACTTTTGTAAATTATTTCAAAAAATTTGGGTATGGGGAAAAGTACTTTAATTTGAATTTTAATTAAGGGTCATGCAGTCCTTACAAACTATTTTATGTTCAATAAATTGTTATTTACCAAAAAAGGACTTTTATGAAAATTGGAATATTTGAAGAGTTTAATAATCTAAATATTTTTAAAAAAATGGATTACTATATTAATTTATAATTATAAAAATCATTGACATTATTTTTAGCTGGAAAGCCGCTTACCGCATTGCCTTCATATTAAAACATTATATTAATATAGCTTAAATATTATTTTAGGATAAGTGCAAATGGTGCAAAGGGTCAACTATTCTGCAAAGATGTATCTGAGTCAGTGATGGATTGGTTTATATCGTTTGTGTTGAAATAAATATAAGCATATAAGAAATTAATGTGTCATACACTGAGAAGAAAATTTTTTTGATTCAAATAATCCTTCACTTAATTATTATCAAATAAATATTTATTTGTATCAAATAATTATTTATTTGTATTAAATAAATATTTATTTGACAATAGTCAAGTACAAGATTATTTAAATCAAATAAATTTTTTCCCAGTGCATTTATTTGAGGATAGTGCCAGCAGGCAAAAGTGCAATCAAAGATCTCCCGTTCAATTTCCATTAAAAATAATTTTATTCTAATTTTATTCTATTCTACTCTATACAATACAAGGCAAAATTCTTTTCAAACTTGTGAGAAAACGGGGAAAACTAACTTTTCTTTAAAATTTTCTAACTTCCCGATCAATTTAAAAATAGAAACAAAATACTATTAATAAAAATAAAAATTAAATAAACAAATAAATAATAGTAAGAAACATTAATAATTATAATAAATAAATTTACATTCTTTTATAATTTTTTAGTTCAAAAGAGCATTTTTCTACTTATAAATAAATAACGATTTTTTTTAATCCACGAAAAATAAGAATTGAGTTTAACAAGGTTTAATTTTACCAGAAAAGAAAAAAAAATGTTTCGTGAACGTGAGAAGAAAGGAAAAAAACGCAAACTTAGCACGAGAGAACTTTGTATGGCGAATGTTTTACACACAAAAGAAGTTCATGCATATATTGAGTTAAAAAAAAAAATGAGAAAAAGGGCAAGAGCTCGTGTCAATAAGATATATTTTGGTAAAGAATTTTTCAAAAAAAAATTTCAAAACGGTTTTTTTGTTATAATTTTTTTTTTTTAGTGTTTGTGAGTATTTTTTTGCGAAACTAGTAGTAGTAGTAGCATATATGAGAACTAAGATATATAATAGGATCGAGTACATACGCTCGCTCGACAGGCGGCTCTGTCTCTTTGAACCTGCAACCGAAGGACAATAAACGTGATATAATGCCACCCCGCATCCACTACCAGTTTAATGAAAGAAAATCTACTAAATGGATCTGTAAAGTCAGTGGGAATATATATCACACTTTCTTTTCTCATTACAAAATAAATAAATAAATAAAAAAAAAGAAACACAAAAAACTTTCTCAATTACTTGACAACAATTGATATCGTTTAACGGTAATTGTTGTTTTTCACTTTATTCTTAAAACAAGAACAATTGAAATAGAAATAACTAGAAATAAAATAAATATTTGAAATTTGATTCAAATAAATATTTATTTGATCTAAATAAACTTTTTATTGATTCAACCTTATAAGGTTGGTTGTTTTAGTCAAATCTTTTTCTGAGTGAATTTAAATAAATTAAAGAACAAAAGTTGCCACTTTTACTATTTTTCTAAACTTTTTCTTTCTCTACGCTATATAGATTTTTAAGAAAATAATTCCCACAAAACTTTACTGTCCAGAATGACGAATCAGAAATATTAAAAAGTTGGAAAAAAAATTGCTAAACAATTAACTATTAAAACACCATAAAATATATATGTACAAAAATAAGAGCCTATTATTCATAAAAGCAAAAATATTTTTTATATCATATTTATATAGATTATTACAGAAATCTGAAATTAATTAAATATGTACAAAAATATCGAGGATAATCACAGGGGGAGACATTTAAAAGAAATATATATATATATATAATATATAAAAAACATTATTTAACATTGAAGATTACTTTTTATATAAATATTCAGGATTTTAAATAAGTTACAAATTAATGTGCAACAAAGGGGAAGGAAAAAATTCGATAAAAATATTTATTATTCACCTGCGACAGAACTTTCTATTAAATGATGTAATTTTTTTTAATTCAGTAAAAATATTAACGATTTAATAAAAATACAATTATTTAGAATTTATTTATTTATTATTTATTTAATTTTTTTATTATTTATTTCTTATTTATTTGTTCTAATTTGTTATAATCTATATTATAATAATTGCTTTGTTTTCGTTGCATAAAAAGGAACGATTTGATAAAAATTTTATTTTAATCAGATATTTTTTAATTTTATTCAGAAAAAATGGATAACTTGATAAGAATATAAATAAACGATTATTTATTGTTTAATTATACAAATTACTAATTGGCAACAAAAAAAAAAAAATATCGAGAACAGCCTTGAAGTTCCCGCGCGCTCAAAGCTTTCAATATCCTATAATGATTTTTAAAGCATGATTTAAGTAGTAAAGACCTGAATGGTCAGCCCTAACGCAATTGAATTGGGGTACAAGGCCGACTCAGATTCACTGCGTGATGTACGTCAGTCATAGTAATGACGTCACTGAACCAAATTGTATAACTATACAGTGACTTTCTTAATTTCACTTTTCCACATGATTTCTATTTTATTTTTTATTTTAATAATTTAATATTTAATTTTACAATTTTTAAAAATCTACAATATTTTACATATAGAAAAATTGAAATGTTCAATTTAATTAAATATCCGTTAGTAAATAATTTAATTTTTTTAAGTAACTTTATTTAACTTAATGCAACTTGTAAATTTTTTATTGCACTTTAAAAAAAATTTATTTATTCCAAAGAGAAGTTTACTTATTTATAATTTATTGAATAAATTTTTTTATTACCAGCAAATGAATAAAGGGTTTATCAACAAATTACAAAAATATACTTAACCGACTCTTGTTTCATGAGAAATTTGTTAAATATCAACCGAGGGAGCCACCGACAAGAAAGTAAAAGATTTCTGTTTTATCCACGACGGTAAAAAGGATTTTTACTTCAATAAAAATTCTCTACTTTATCAAAATTTTGTTGTCACAGCAAATTCTTTATAAAAAAAATAATTGTTTTATTTTTTAAATTTTTATTAAAAAAATTAACTATTATTTATATTACTAATTTTTATTTAACAATAAACTATTATTAAAATGATAAAGTTATTGACAAATTGAAGCAATTAGCTTATATAATTTTTTAATTTATATTCTTTTTTATATTAAAGATAATTTATATCAGTAATTAGTTATTTTAGTAAAGATTTTTAATTTCGACAAAAAAGGTACATTTTACTTATTATTTAATTAAAATTATTTTTTTTTAATCTAAAAATATTCAAATTATACAAAATTAATAATAAATGGTTTTTATAAATTATAGAAATTAAATTGAATTTTATCGCACTTTCATTTTTCTTATTTAACAAAGATTGTGGATTTTAGTTTGTTAAGAGTTCAAAAAAAAGAATTTTCCACGCTCAAGAGACACGGAAGAATATTTACATACTAAACTAATCAAGATTGAGAAAAACGAATTCTCAAGCTTCAATGTTTAAATTTCCATAACTATATTTTAACTTGAATTATAAAAATTCCGAATACAGAAAAATAATAATATTTCACTGAATTCTCTCAATATTTCATATTTTTTTTATAATTTATTTATTTTATTATATTTTTTTAATTTATTATATTAAAAAATAATTATTATTTAATCATTAATTTTTTTTAATGATGAAAAAAATATGTGATTATTTTTTGCATTTTTGTGAAAAAAATTTCAATGCAAATCTTGTTTGATGAAAGAAATTGACGGTGAGAGAGACGATTGAAAAAAAAAAATTGAAGAGAAGTAAATGAAAAGTTTATAAACTCACCTCTCACTGGCAATAGAACTGTTCCGTGACATTGATTTTGGCGACATTTCGAAATCGCTATCACTCCTGTACAGGAAACTTTCTCTCCTTTGTGGCAGGTTCTGTAAAACCAGACCTGCACTCGGGGATGCTCCTCCACATCCCCCTGCGCCTCCGTCCAGCGTTGACGCGCCATTTTCCACATCGAAACTGAAAAAGTAAATAATATTTTAATACATAAATACCAATTTAATTTGCTAATTTTCAAATTTTGTTTTTTTTTTTATAAAGTTAAAATAAATTATTCTTAAAATAAGAATAATATTCTTAATTCTCAAATTAAAAATATATACAGTAATACCGTTAATGATGAAATAAAATAAAAAATATACAACATGTCGAATTTAAAGAAGAATGATAGAATTGACGTGAATCAATTGTAACTGACGTAATTTCCTTGAAAACTTCAATAGCTTAGACAAATATTACACACTCACAATCAGATCATTTGTCACTGGTTGAGTAAATAATTGTCAATAACGAGATATTATAATATTGACCAGAGATAAAAAAAAATATATATATTAAAAACTTTGCTTAGCATTTAAATATTTTACTATTTTATTTTGTAATAACAGATATATTGATAAATATTTATGTTTTATACATGCGAAAAAAAAATTATATACTCTCGAAATTTCCGATTTCCAATAGGCAAAAATAAAATGCCTTATGTAAGATACTATAACCTTGCCATTCAACATTTAATCGTTCGCTGGTGGGCACTGCACGCAATCAATTGCTAAATGCATCCAGGAAGAAGAGATGTATAGAAAATAGAGCTGATAAAAATCATCATTTTTTTTCCAATTTTATTTAATGAATTAAAAAAAAATTTTCTTTATTTTAAAAAAAATACGAAAAAAAATTAAATTACACCAAAAATTTACTCTAAATCTGAAAATGCTACTAATTTTAGTACTACTACTACTACTGATACTAATATTAGTAAGAATTTTCACTAAAAAAAACTTTTTATTTTACTTTTTACTTTAGTATAAAAATTTTTTTAATTACTAGTAACATTTTACTATTTTACTTTTTAGTAAAAATTCTTACTGATGTGAATTTGCGGCTCATTTTTACTAATTCAAATTTACTCTCTAAATTTGAATTAGTGAAAAGTGAGCTACTAATTCACATTAGTAAGAATTTTTTACTTTAGTAAAATATTAATATTTGATTTAGTAATTTAAAATTTTGTTTACTAAATTTTTAGTGAAAAGTAACTAAAAATTAGTAAAAATTCTTACTAATTTAAATTAGTAGCTCACTTTTCACTAATTCAGATTTAGAGAGTAGAGTATAATAAAAAATTATTAAAATATTATTTAGGTGGTAATAATTATATTAATAATAAAAATGTTTGTATGCCTACAAAAAAATTGTATTATTAACAAAACATTATTATGTAATAATTTATTTATTATATATTATTTAATATTAATGATTTATATTATTATATAATAGTTTTTTATTACAAATTTTTGTAACTCAAACACTTTTATTCTAATATTAATTTTTATCTTAGTGACGATTATTATTATTATTATTATTGGTGCAAAGAATATGAGCTTTCGATATATCTCAGACACGACACTTCGCAGGTGCCAAAGTTGATTGATTTATGACTGTTTGCGTTAAATCTCAAACAATCTCATGAAATTCATTCATCGGGAAAATAGGATTGAAAGGTTCATTTGATGAAATGATTCTATATCTTTATGCAATTGACACGAGCAAATGAGCATGAGCAATGCGAATGGACAATATATCGAACAATAGTTTTCTTCAAGTTTTGCTTACGTCAAATCTCATCAAAACTTTATGTAACTACACCCTCAATTGATCGTCATTTTATATAGATGATGTCACCATTCACACTTTCTGATAAAAAGGAATAATTTATTTATTCACAACTATTTCTTTTCATTCCTTTGTGAATCGTAGCGTTATATATATATATATTATATTTTCATTATTCGTCACTTTTCTTGCTATTCATTTTTTTTTAGTTTCAAAATTTTTTAAATAATAAAAATTATACAATCAGTTAAAACCACTATTAACAAAAATTGTCTTAGAAAAAGTTTTTTTTTTATATTATTATATCTAATGACATTTCTGCAATCGTTTTAATAGTTTATAAAAGAAAAGTCGAGTCAAGTTTTCAAGATAAAGTAAATCTCGTAAAAAATTTGTCTGGATTTATTAAACTTTTAGAGAAAACTTAGTTTTTTTTTTATCCCAAGAGGATTTATGAATTTCATATAAGGGAAAGTTATTTCATTCTTTTGTGGAAAAAAAAACTTAAAAAAGCAAAAAATTTTCTTTATTCAATTTTGAAAGATAAATATAATTCTTTGCTACGTACAGTAATTTTGGATGAGGTTTTGTGCGCGAAAGTGTCGACACACAGCCACTGTGCCTTCTCAGTGATGTTATCGGCAGTGTCACTCTCATCGTACCTGAATCTCTGCGAGAGAATTTTGATGAAATTTCATGAGGCATCAAAATTGAATACTCGTTCATTATGACGTTGTATGATAAATTATCTTCAACTTGCACAAAATTTCGTTTCGCATTCCCTTCTTCCTTGCGTTATTATTAATTTACTATTTTAATTTACTAATTCTACAACTTTTAACATTTGAATATTTTTATCCATTTATTGTTCAGAATTAGAAAATCACAAATATTTTTGTTTATTTTAGCGAATAAGAAAGTTTATAAATTTTATTTACACGAGAATTTGATTTTTTGTATTGGAAAATTTTCAGTCATTTTTCACTAAAACATTAGTAAATAATTACTAAATCAAATAGTAATATTTTACGAATTGAACGAATTCTAATTCAAAAAAAAATTTTCATTTATCAGTCTGTGAAATTACCTTTTTCTATCCTATATATGATTTCAAATTTTAGTTCGACATTTACGACAAACAAAATTTAATTATTTCTGTAAATAAATAGCTATTTTTCTAAACCAACGAAACTTATAGCCATATTGCGAATAATTTTACCTAAAATCTTTTGTACACGCAGAAAACAATATTCACTTTTTTTTACGTATAAACAAAATGCATTTTTCTCTCCGAATTAAATTTTTTTTCCTTAGAACAAAACAAAAAAAAAATCATTTTCAACTCTTATAAAAATATGGAATCTTTCTTTAAAATAACTGAATTTTTTCCTACTTTTTCTTCTCAAGGAAAATTAAAAACTTTTTCTCGTCTTATTTTTAGATTTTTAAATTCTTACATGAAAGAAAATAGTAATGAAAAACTTATTGTCATATGAGTTGTAAAAATTTATTAATTAATAATTAATGAATAATTAGTGCAAGTTTTATTTTATTCATCACATACTGAATAATTAGATAATTATACGTTGTGGTAATTTTACAGACAATTGACTATTTCAAAGTGTGCGATAAAGTAAAAATTAATGTTGTAATTAAGAGGAAGTTTATAGCACCAGTTTAATGTAGGGTAACATTTTTAATGAGAGATTTTAACATTTATCGTAAGTGTTATAGTTTTATTTATAAATAGTCTAAAAACTATGTGTAAAATTTTATTGAGCGTTGAGAAATCAAATTTTGTTGATATTAAATATTTAGTAAAGAAGGCAAACTCACATGTTTATGTGATTCATAAAGTTTTCTACACTTTGCTATAATAAAATAGTTTTTTTTTATTTATTTAAATTTTTTTTTATTTATAAAAAAAGAAAGATTTTTGTTATGTGTATTTTACTTTTTTTTATGTAAAGCGTATTTAAAGTTTTTTTTTTTTAAATTACATTAAAGACAAAGAAAAAAATTCAAATTTTCAGCCCACGTGACGAATAATCTTGATAAATGTAGATTATGTAATATTTAACGATTTAATGGCCAACACTTCTTTGTTTATATTTTTAACCGCATCTTTGCAGTAAATTAATCAGGCTTTGTGAACCAAGGCTTAATAGCAGTTATTATGTATGCATTGTAATGTTAAAATTCATCTACAAGAGAACAACGATAATTTTCAGTTTAAAATTGACCTTTTATTATGGACAAAAATTAATTTATTATTATTGGTATAAATTGAGAAAAAAAAGTTGTATAATTTAAAAAATAAAAAAATATTCCCGTTGTTTTTGGCGAAAATTTGAATTTTTAATTCTATTATTTATTATTATTATTATTTTTGCATTATTACAAATATATTTGTATGCAGAAATGATCAGTTCGAATACAATTTATTTGATAATAGTAAAATAAATAATTATTTAAACCAAATAAATTTTTTTTATCAGTGTATAATTTTTTTTTGACGTGAAATGTAATAAATTTCGCTATATCTAGGAAAAAAAATAGAGGAAAAAATGCATTTTCTTCACTTTTTTACAGAGATAATTATTGCGAACGAAACGTAACTATTTTCACTGGAGTATTGTTTTAACAAAGAAAAAAAGATAGGTCACTCGCCCACGAATGTTTTGAATACTTTGATTCATTTCAACAATTAATTACAAGATATTATAGATATTTTTTTTTTTTTATAAAAACAAATTAACGTCAAAATTTACTTATTTGAAAATTAATAAAAGAAATAAGGAATAAAAGCTTAACAAATAATATATTATTGAAAATATATGAAAATAGACATAAATAAATAAGAAATAAATATAAAGATAAAAGTATAAACATTTAGTTAAAAATAATTGGAAAATAAATAAAATAGATTAGAACAACTAAATAAACAAATAAATATACAGATAAGGACATATATAAAGAATATAAAGAAAACTAAAAATAAAACATTAATAAATTATGCAAATTATTTGCATAACTTTTTGAAAAAATAAATATCCTTGGAAAAACTAATTTTAATTGACTAGCGAAACATTAAGAAATTTTCCACTAAAACATTTTTTTTTCAAAACTGTGCGTCGTTAACGAACATGGAACATTTTGGAAAAAGGTATTTCCGTTGCATATTTTTTTACGGAAGTAAGCTAAAATTAACTGATTAAATCGATCGAGGATGAGCCTGCATAAGATTAAATAAACTGACAAAAAAAGGTAATCTCACTATCATAAAATAACTTTTCATTGCACGTATTAATTTTTTTTTTTTTTGCAATTGATATACCGTCCAC